ACTCCCAGAATTCCCCAGCCAGCAAGGGTGGCTGGGGAATTCTGGGAGTTGAAGTCTGCCCGTCTTAAAGCTGCCAAGGTTGAGAAACACTGATAAAGAGAAAAATTATGCCCACCTCTTCCTCCTGCTGACACTTTAGAAATTCCTCAGCCAGGCTTACAGCATGGTCACAATTAGAAGGTTCCCGTTCCTTGACAAAGTCCTGCATCTTCTGGGGCAGGATGGCCTGGAACTGCTCCAGGATCACCAATTCCAGCATCTGCAATTTTGTATGTCTTCCAGGCTTCAGCCACTGATGGCAGAGATCCCACAGCCGGCAGCAAGCATAGCGGGGCCCCTCCATCTCCTGGTAGCAGAAGTCTCGGAAATGCCGGCGCTGGATGTCCGAGTTGACCACCGGCTCCTCGGAAGCATTTTGTCTCATCTCTTCCATGAGTTCCCTTCTTGTTCTGGCCTGGCGGAGGCGAAGGCGAAGGCTCTTCCTTCCTTGGGGTTCTACAGCGCCTTGGTCTCCTGTGGAGGCTACCCGGAGGTCCAGGGAAGAAGCAGCTGAAGAGGACAAATGACATTGAGGTCTTTAGTTGAAGTTCTGCTCCGTGTCTCCTCCAAGCTGGAAGGCTAGCAGCAATAACTTGGCACGGGTCTATTTTGTGTGCGAGTTGCGCCCTTTCCTTGACCAGGAGGCCCTTCGGATGGTCACTCATGCCCTAGTCGCCTCATGATGGACTACTGCAATGCACTCTACGTGGGGCTGCCCTTGAAGACTATCCAGAAGCTACAGCTGGTTCAAAATGCAGCAATGCAGGATGGGCACTTCTCGTTACGCCCATGTATCATTGCTGCTTCCTCAGCTGCACGGGTTACCAAACAACTTCCGGGTGCAATTCAAGGTGTGGTGGTCACCTATAACGCACCTCATGGCAGGGGGGCTGGATTATTTGAGGGATCACCTGCCTCTGATTTTTTCTGCCCGTCTGGTACGTTCGGACAGAGCAGGTGCACTACAGCCATGCCCACTTAGAAGATTTGGTGAGTTTTAGTGCTTCAGCGGGGGTCAGGGTTAGGATCCTACAAATCAGCCTAAGCAGACTGTACAGTGCATCAGTAGCGCTAAAGACGTGAAATAGTTTGCTAGAACAAATTATTATCTCATCTAATCTGAGTTGGAATGCTTCTCTGTACTAATAATTTTTTTTTCTGAAAAAAAGTAGCACATCAGGATTCAGACCAACATTCTATCTAAAACTGTCTGCTGTTTCCCATAATAATCAACCATATATTGATGCCCCCAAGCAGGATATTTATTTATTTAACTCAACCTAGGGGCTGCCTAGTTCCAAATTAACTCTGGCCCGCTCACAATATAATAAAACATAAGAATGCAATACAAAACAAAACAAGATGGGACCAGTTTTTTCCATACAAACATAGCCAAAAGAACATCCAGCAAGGGGCCCCATCCATCTCCCCCCAAGGACTAGGAGGTCTTCATGGCCTTAGGAGAAGAAAAAACAAGCAATTTCTGTAGGCAATCTCTCCTGTGCCTGACCCATTCCTCCCTGCCCCCCACAGAGTGGAGAGATTGGAGCGAAAGGGATTACAAGAGAGTAAGCAGGCACACAATAGGGCAGTGTTGTCCAAACTTGGCCGCTTTAAGATGAGTGGACTTCAACTCCCCGGATTCCCCAGCCAGCCATGCTGGCTGGGGAATTCTGGGAGTTGAAGTCCACTCATCTTAAAGCGGCCAAGTTTGGACAACACTGCAATAGGGAATACACTGGGCTGTTTGCATAACGCACTCATAGCTGCCTGAGCCAGCACAATTCTTTCGACATCTATTCCCATTATGTGCTTACTGCTTACTCTCTTGTAATCCCTTCCTCTCCAATCTCTCTGCTCTGCAAGGGGGGGAAAAAGAAAAACAACAGGTCAGGCACAGGACAACACATACTGACTGTAATGGCAATCACGTGACTGAGGGACCCTGTGAAGGTCGTAAATGCAGACGTTGGTCATTACGTTATTTTTTCAGCACTGTTGTAACTTTGAATGGTCGCTGAATGAGGTACCTGCTAGAACAGAGCATGTCTTTATTCGGGCAATGACCCGCAAAGAGGTAGCCGCTAAGCAAGGACTATGTGTAAAAGGCAAAAGGATGGGTTCTAAGCCACAAACCATGGCTTGCAAACCACCACGGTTTGAGCTAATGCATCACTGAAGCAATGAGCATGAAACTGAGAAATCTGTATGCGGGCCAAGAAGCAACAGTTAGAACTGGTCATGGAACA